TATCAAATCTTAGTTAGCTCAACTCAGGTTTTCCGCAAAATATGCGAACCCAGAAAAGTGGTTCAAATCATTAAAAATATTTTAGCAATATTTATTTTTATTCCACTTAATGTAAATATTTAACAAGAAAAGATGGATTTTTTATATTTTTTTAATTTGAAGATGAAAGCGTTTATAGAAAAAAATTACTATTATTTTAAAGTTTGTGAATTTTTTTACTTTTTGTGATAAACTCATGATGTCATGCTCATTTTTATATTGAGTGAAACAGCTGTGTGTGAATCAGGAGCTCATTTATGGCTACGCTTAGTACAAAACTATATGGAAATATCAATTGACAATTTTTTGCTGTTGTTCACAGATGAAATTATTAATGATTTTTGTAGGTACAGTAAAATGTATGGCATAATACTAATTCTCAAAAAAATATGCAGAACAAAAAGTGATGTGAAACGAAAACAATTAACTGAGAGAAATTTCTAGCCTTTCTTGGTATATCAAGAACTAGTTAAACTTCTAAACCTTCATCTTTATTGGAGCATTAAGTTGCTTTATATGGTTTGCAGGCATGATTTCTGATGTCCTATGATGGTCTGATGTCATGATGTTGAGTATAATCTATTAGAAAAGTTTGTTAGATGGTGGAAAACACTCTTTTTCCATCTCATAAACATTACAGCTGTAATTAGTTTCATTCTATTTCAACACATTCAGAATCAAAGGAATGATATTCGAAACGTCTACAAAAGCGCCTACAAAACAGAGCATCTACAAAAGTTTGGGAACTTTTGCAGAAGCTCAATAGCACTAAAAAAAAGGAACTTCTAAGTGTGCTATAAAAAGAAAATATTTATTTATACTATGATGTACCTCAATGCCATGTTGCCTCACACTGAACTGTGGCACAAAACTTGAACAATAACATTGTTCAAATTTTTATAAATATAATTAATTTTTTATTATTATTTTTTTTTACCATCTTCGCTTCCAACAAGGCTGCAAGCAACCACTAATTAGTGTTGGAAGTTACTGGAAGAGAAAAGATGAAGATTGTAGAGCAAAATAACGATCGACAGATGACTTAAAAGATTAAAAATTATATGAACCAGGAAAACAAGATGAAGGAAGCGAATTCCAAAGAACTGATGTTCGAGGATAAAAACTAGATGAATAAGAGTTTTTGGTGCACTCAGGAACAGTAACAGAAAAAGGATGAGGCTTAATTAAATGACGAGTAACATGAGAATGAATTTTAGTAGATGGCACAAGAGACGCTAGCTCTTTAGAGCAGTGCCCATTATAGTATTTGTAGAAAAGAGAAAGAGAAGCAACATTACGACGATGTGACAACGGTTGAAGATTGGCTGCAAGAGCAGGTCCAACTCTGTTTACAATGTGTTTTTGCACCTTGTCTAAAAGAGAAAGGGCATCATTAGAAGATCCGTCCCAGATTTGGCAACAGGATTTGAGATTTATAGAGATAGAAAATAGAATCCAGAGTAAAGAAGTGGCGAGCTCAATAAAGAGATGGAACTTTAGCAGATGCTTATTTTGCAACAAATTTGGTATAAAGTTTCCAAGAAAGATTAGAAGTAAGAGTTAATCCTAGAAGATGAAGGGTAGATAACTCATCAAGTACATTACCGTTCCTAAATATAGGAAGGTCTAAATTATTGCGATAGCGATTGGCCAAAAAAAATTGAGTTTTATTTGAATTAAAGTTCACCAGCCACTGTGAGCCCCATGCTGTAGCAGAAGTGAGATCCTTTTCAAGCTCAAATGCCCCTTGCAAGCAATCAGAAGGAGATGGCTTATTATTGTAACAAAAATAAATGGTAGTATCATCAGCGAACAATGAAGCAAACTTTTAATATTATGTTATTTTTAATGTATTTTTTAAAGACTCCAATAATTGCGTATACTTATGTGTCAGTTCACCTTTTGTCATAAAAGCAGATTTGAATCTTCTAACTTTTTTTATATGCTTCTATTCTCTTAATCACTTTTTTTTGTTCTTTTTTGTTTTTCTGACTGAACTCTTTTAATGTTGTTTTTGATCAAATAGAGCAGGCTCTTTCTCATTTCCTTCAGATTTTGTTGCTATTAAGGACATTATTATCATGACACTCAATGACTTGACTCTAGTGCACTGATCCTGTTCGTTCTAAAGCTCAAAATATTTGTCTTTTTCAATCTCATTTAACTTCACTCTTTTTTAACTTATTTTCACATCTTTAATCATTTAACTTCACACCTTAACTTGTGTCTAGTCTCAAAACCAAGCTTGTACTTTTTTTTTTATTATCCTTTGGTGATCATTCAGATAATGTTATGCTTAGCTAGTTAAATTATAAAGAAATGTAAATGAAGATACCAAAACAAACATGAAGTTCATAGACTATAGATTTACTAAAAACATTGGTTTGTAAAAATGAAATATTAAGTATACATGTTATCACGGGCAAGAAAGATGTAATAAATATCTGACCAAAATTCAGAAATCCGGCCAAAATTATGTCGGATTTGCTAACATTTTGCCGGAGCCGGATTTGGACTGGATTTGTAAAAATGGCCGGATTTTGGCCAGAGCAGGAGCCGGAGCCAAAATTCGGTACAGCCCTATATCTTATTTTTTTATCTATTTCTTTTTTAAGAACAACTCTCTGGGGAACAAATTTCTTTTTATCATTGCAAGAAACTGATCATATTTCATCTCAGAATTTAGGTTCTAGAAACTTGGAAAATATTTAACTATGTCATTAACAAATACAAGTTTAACATTCCATTTCTTATCCATGGGTCTAATCTTGTTACCTCTCCCAATGAGGAACTGTTTGCAAAGAACATTTCCTTTATTTCATTTCTTAAATCTAATGTTTACACTCTTTTTGTCATCCCCAAAAAATAGGTTAATCCACTGTTAATCATCCAAATCACTTCTGCTCCTGTTGCAAAAGTTATTTCCAAATTAACAAATTAACAACATTCCTGTCATAGTCTTACAACATTCCTGTTGTAAGACTATGACAACTCTCTAAACTGAACTTTGTTTTCTCGCCTGCTGGAAATTGGTATTTGTGGTTCCAATTTTTTTAAATTCTGGAGATCGCTCTGGCCCCTCTACCTATTGTCTAACAAGTTGTTTTACTTAGCAAAATCTTTAAATCTTTAAAAACTTAAAATATCTCATTTGAGTCTAACAACTTTCTAACAATCAACACAAGTTTTAGTCCTCTCGTTCTACTGATGATTAACCGATGATTAACAGGTCATTTCATTTTACATTAGATGAAAGCAAACTCGTGTTATTTATTTTTAAAATGTATATAATAATAATATGTATGCAATGCACATTTCTGATGATTTGTTGACTTATAACTAAAGGGTTTCGGTGTACATTAGATGAAAGTGATGAAACAAGAGTATATTAAGGCTTTGGCAGCCCTTGGAATTCAGTTCAGCAGGAAAAAAAACAAAAGTTTGACCATAAAACATGGAAATGAGGTCGGCCATTTTTGCCAACCTCAAACATTTCTAGGTTGGCAGTAAGGTTGGCATTGCTGAATGCTGACTCTAATTTCGAGCGTTGCTTTGAGAAGGCTGATGTTTTAAGGCTTACGATATGGTCTGGCATGCTGGTCTTCACAATATGCTTTCTATGTGGTCTATAATATGAGAAAGGTTTTAAAATTATTGAATCTATTCTTTCCAACTGCAGTATTAATGTAGTCCTTTATGTAAAGTACTCTTCTTTATTTTCAGTTATATCTGAGGTAATAAAAGGTTGCTTCCTTGATCCTGTGTAGTTTGTCATCTGTAGTATATCCTCCTAAAAATCTTTGCTTCCAAAGTCACTCTATTTTATGGCTCTATTTGGTGACACAACTATGTACTTTAAAGTTGAGGATAAGTCATCACTTTTAGAGTTTAAATTTTTTATTTTTTACAAACTCCTTGAAAAAAGTCTGGAAAAATTTAAAACTTAGTTTAGTTTTTAAAAGTTATTTCAAAGTTTTTTTACCAAGTCCAATAATAATCATTAACCTAACATATTAGTGTATACCAAAAATTATCCCAGTGGTCTCAGGAAAGTAAAGTATAATACTTGCATTAGAAATATTTTAAATTTATTTTTTCTTGAATACAAATAGAAATTGTAAGCTCCTCTAAAATATTGCCAAAAATATTTATTTTTTTCAAACTAATGTTGTTTTTTTTAATTTATTGTATTGAAAAAATGTGCTGAATTTCAAAAATGTTCTTGGTGTCCTACTAGCTTTTTTTTTAAACACAACTTCTCAATTCACTCTCAACAGAACCTCTCTTGACTCTCAACATAACCATAACCAACCACTATTCAAGTTTGAAGTTACAAGAGAACTCTTTAATATTGAGTTAGTTTGAGCACACAAAATCAGCTAAAATATGCACACACATGATGATTTGAATGGGATTGTATTTTGTACACCTGTAATTTTCACATATAAAAGTATTTGAGAATTAAAATTAACAATAAAAAAAGTCTTAAAAAGTTTTTTTTTGATAACTATAATTATGTGCTTTTAACAGCAAGAAAAAGCATCTTAAAAAATATTAGTCACATTAAATTTTAATAAGTATATATCAGTCACTTTCAGTCTAATTAGGCTTTAAAAATCGCCGAACTTTAAAAAATCTCATAAATTTAGGTTTTTCTTACTATAGTATAATACTTATGAAAGCATATTAAAATGTCAGAGAAAAAAAAATAGACAAGAACCACCATTTTAGTTCATGATGATATGTATTTTCAACTATATAAAAATGTTATAAATTAACAGATAAAATGATAAAAGTATGCAAATTAACTTCATTTTGATGGAGATCACTGATACCTACCAATAGATGATGTATTTTATAATGAGGTACTTTAGTAAATACATTTAATTTACTAATTAGCTTTTCATCTGAAAAAAAAAATTAAAAACTAAGTTATTATATATTAATGAATTTAATTATAGATGACAAACCTACTCCACCAATAAATCTTCTTGGAGACTTTGGAGGAGGTGGCATGATCGCTGTTACTGGAATATTACTTGCTCTGTTTGAAAGGTCATTATCTGGAAAAGGTCAAACAGTCAATGCATCAATTGTAAGATTTAAAAAGATTATATAGCGTAAAAGTCTATATTGAGGGCTTAATTCGCAAATGAGATAACTCCAGTAAACTAAATTGTTCAGGAGCAACATAAAAGTATTTCATATTTCATATATTTCATATGTGCATATATTTCATATGCACATATATTTCATATGCACATATTTTTCTTAAAAGTAAACTGCGTTAAAGTTGAGTTTACAATAAAGTGAAGTTATCTTGCTTGTGGATTAAATTTTTATTTATGTATATACATATTTATGTATGCATACATATATGTATGTATGTATGTATGTATGTATGTATGTATGTATGTATGTATGTATGTATGTATGTATGTATGTATGTATGTATGTATGTATGTATGTATGTATGTATGTATGTAAAATACATACATTCATACATGTATATATGTATTTATATATGTATGTATGTTTTTATAAAGGTTGCAAGTCATTTTTTTGCAAAAAATGTAGTTTTTTAAGCCAAAAAACCAAAAAAAAAATCAAAAAAATTTCCTAAATTTATCTTTAATCATTTTTAATAAAGAACTTAACATAGATTTGTAAAATAAAATTGTTTCTTGTAATTTAATTTAGTTTTTTAGATAATTATGTTTTAGTGCACCATAGTAATTTCATCATTTTAAGACTATCCTGGCTACCGCTATACCAATTGATATGTTTGTTGGTTTTTAACTTTATCGTCAGGTTTTTTCAAGAAAATTTGGGTCTTGTTTTATATTTTACCACTGCTCAAAACAATCAAAAACCATTTTTATTGCAAGATTGTTTGCATTTTTTATATAAAATAATGACTTGTAGCACAATTAAAAAAATTAAGTATAAATTCAATTTGTACAGAAGCAACAAACAAACAAAAAACTACACTTTTATCACCAATCCTTTGCGTTTTTCAAGTGCAAAGGATTGGTGAAGAAATGGTTGTGATAATGAATACTACTTAATATGTTGATGATAAAAATGAAGATTACAAGAACAATAATCTTTTTCTTATTAAAAAGAATGTTTATTAATTACATTTGTTGTTCATAATGTTGAAAATAAGATTATTTTTCAAGATACCATAGGAGTTGTTATCCAAGTGTTTGCATAGACAGGATACAAAATCATAATGAAGCAATCAACTATTTGATTTGGTAAAATGTTCTATAAATTTTAAGTTACTAGCATTTGTGAAACATTTATGATTTTTTTTTTAAATTACACATAAACCTTAAAAATATATCTTATCAGTCAATAATAAAAGTAAAAACTTTCAGTGTAATAATATTTGTCGACAATATAAATCTTGATTTATTGAAAACTAGCTTTATATTATTTATCTTCAAACTTGTAGCAAATACTTGTTCAGACTTACCCATTTAAAGATTCACTTAGCCTTGTTTGGCAAGTGATGTATGGGGCATAAATATCCATAAAGTATGTACGCAGAAAAATCACTGATTTTGGGCCCCCTTCCCTCTTTTAGTCTAAAAAAAGAAATCAAGTTTTAGGAAAGATAGAGAACAAGAGATAGTCAAATCCTATGCATATTTGCTTTCTTTAATCCAACTTTCTCTCATTTTTATGCATCCTTACGTTTTTAGTTAACCCTCCATCCCCAATACCTGCATACAAAACTCTAAAGTATGCAAAAATAATGATTATTGTAAATATATATATATTTTTGGGCGGTATTTATTTTGGGTAGCAATAACCCCGTTCCAAAATTTTAAAATTCAAAAGTTAGCGATGATATTGCCAAAAATTAGCATTATCAAAAAAACAAATATTTGCAAAAAAAACATATATATATATATATATATATATATATATATATATATATATATATATATATATATATATATATATATATATATATATATATATATATATATATATATATATATATATATATATATAAAGAAAAATGCATTTTATTCATGACATGTTTTGTAGTTACTTAATACATTTTCATTTTAGTTTGCAGTTAAATTTGACACATGTTTATGGTTTTTTACTGATAACTTTAAAAACTTTGCTTCAACCCTCACACTCCTTGAGCTGAAATATGAAAGTTGATAGCTTGCTGGTCCAAAAAAGTCATAAAAGTAGAAATTTGAGATTTATTAAAGCAATAAAATCATATTTTTTATGTTCATAAAATAAAGGAGTAAATGATACGGAAAATCAACAATAAAATCATGACTATTTCCAGTATTAAAATCAACAATACTTTACTTTGTATTTATATCAAAACTAATGGGTAGTTTTCAAATTTCTTTGTTATAATACATATTATTTGCATCTATGTTAAAATTATTATCATTCTTTTTGACAAGAAAATTAACAAGGTGTAAACTTTTTGTTTAAATATAATTTTAAAAGCTTTCTCTTTCTTTTGTCCTTTTTTCCAAGTTTGTCATCGAATCTTTAATCTTCTTATTTTTTTTAAATTACACTAGCTGGCGAATGTTCCAGGTAGCAAGAGTCTGATTAGTATAAATCCTAAAAACATTGTTTTCATTTTCATACACATTTACTTCTGAAATGGTATTAAGTTTTTTTTTTTTTTTTTGCATACTGTCCACATTTTGATTCTAGTAAGCTTTGCAAAAAGTTTGTTTTTAGAACAGCTATACCTATTATTTATTTTAAAATTTGACTTTGGACGTTTTTATCTGCATTCTATTTTTAAACTATTGTCATTTTAGATGTGATTTAGAAGTTTATAGACAGTATTGTTCACATATTTCAGCGGTTTGCTGTACAACTGTTTTTAGAACAGCTGTACCCATACAGTTAAAATTTTTTCAATTAAAAATATTTTAAGTGTGGGTACAGCTGTTTTTAGAACAGCTGTACCCATAGTTAAAAATAATTATTAATAATTATATAAGTGTTAGTATCTTTTATAAATTCTTTGCCCAGATCTGCTGTAAACTAATTGAACTATTAATTTGGTTCAAGAATTTTTAAATTTAATGTTTTAACCTCTGATTACAATAAGTTAAAACATCGTTTAGCAGAACTAAAAGAATGTGAATATCTTAGTAAAGTCATTGAAAAAGCATTTTACAATGCAAAACTCCAAGGACCAGGTCCCTAAAGTTTATGTTGTACAGATGTTAGTTACAAGATGTTAAATTTTTGTGATTTTTGAGCTCCAGAAATACAAATAGCTTTTAATTTATCTCATAAAGTGTAATTTTTTGTAAATATTTTATTTGAAAAATATAAGAAAAAAAAAGACACATCGTATATTGTTTATTTGGTTGACAAACAGTTTTTATTTAATTTATAATTATGTATACATATAGAGTTATAAAAAATTTTTTTTCATAACTTTTCACTTTTTTATTCTTTTTATTAAAAAACCACAAAGAGTTATGCAGCTATGCAAACTACATTGTTCCGATTTTTCAATACAGCAACGTATATTTCTTTCTTGTTAGTTTTCTCGCCATCAATAGTCAATAATGATTAGTCCAATTTCAAGGCTTTAATTTTTATAAGTTATGTTTTGTTTTTTGTGATTCTTTAACAGATGTCTTTTATCTATGGTAACCTACTTTTGTGTTTAAAAGACGTTTAAAAGACATTTAAAACAAATTTAGGACGTAACTTTTAAAAACAAATGCCCGTCGTTTAAATTTAAACTCTAACAAATAAATTTAACAAATAAATTTAACAATAAACAAATAAATTAAACAAAAAAATTTAACCTCTAACAAATAAAATAAAAGATTTCACATTTTTAATTAGTCTTAGTGCGGTCACAAACGAATTCTGCAGACGCCATGGTGCCAGCGGGCACGGGGCCTGAATACTCCACAGATATCAAAAAATATATTTAAGAGCACTTAAAAATAAATTATGGCTTTTGATTTGCTTCATAAAGAGACATCACAAACTTTGTTGAACAAGGCGGCTGCACTGAGAAACAAGTTTATACAAAATTATAAAAAAAAAAAAAAAAATTTCATTCATTTCATTGTTTTTATTTTTTATATCATCAGATTTATTTATCTATAGTAGCCTACTTTTTTTTTTCAATACATTTTAATTTGAAAAAAATTGATTTTTTTTGAATTAAAATGTGTTGAAAAAGAAAGCAAGTTATTATAAATAAACAGTTAAACTAACCTGTTCAGGTTCGAACTTTACAAAAAAAGTTCATATTGGAGCCCTAGTTAAAATATAAAACTGTAGGCTTAAGAACTCTTAATGACATGCTTACTCTTAGGTGCTTAATACACGTTTATTTTTTTTCAGAAATTTTTCCTACCCACCCTCCCCTCTTCTGTTTATTAATTTTGATAAGAACACTAATATACCCCTTTTATACACACTACCTCTTATTTTAAGCTCACGAGAGTGAAAAAGGTAAAATTCAGGACAACAGGCATTTTGTTAGCTTTGGCTTAAAAAAATACAGACTAGGGTATTGTCCTTTAGTTTATTGAAAATTTGAATGGCAAGGTCACTTTCTGATTTGGTTGTTGTTCAAGTTGAATTCTGTTAAATTTGCCATTCGATTTGTGCTTGTCATTGAATTAGAAATGCGAAACAGATTTGAATTAGTTTACATGCATTAGATTCCTCTTTTTAATATTTTGCTAATCTTTAAAACGTTGTTTTGTTCCAGAACATATTAGAAATAGAAAATTTGAAATTAATCCCTGTGTCCATCATTGATGCCTATCCCTGCGTCTATCAGAAGTTTTTTTAATCAATTTGTTCATGTTTTAGACTACTAGTTAAATATGGTTTATGATTTTTTTAGACTGAAGGTACATCATATATTTCGTCATTTCTTCATCGATCAAATAAACTTGGAATTTGGACTGGAAACAGGGGTGAAAATCTTCTTGACTCTGGGGCTCCTTTTTACGAAACTTACGCTACCAAAGATGGAAAGTATATATCTGTTGGTGCTATCGAACCACAGTTTTATAGAAATTTTGTTCTAGGTGAACTTGTTTTTTATGAACTAGTGAAATTAAAAACTTAAAAACATATTTGAATTATACTTTATTTTTTAAATAATTTATGATTGTTTTGAGAAAAGTTTTAATTTACGTTTTTTTATTTTTTTATCTAGGTCTAGAATTAGACGACCTTCTAAACAGTCAATATGATTATTTAAATTGGCCTTCTATGAAAAAACTTATCGAAGACGTGGTTAAAACAAAAACCCAAAAACAATGGCTAGAGATTTTTACTGAAAAAGATGCATGTGTTACACCGGTTTTAGAATTAAACGAGGCAGCTATGTTTCAGCATAATATTGATAATCACTCATATATGAAAAATGAAGATGGGTTCGAACCATGTCCTGCCCCTAAACTCAGTAGGACGCCTGGTATTAACTTCTGCAGAGCAGATCCAAAAGTAGGAGAGCATACTGTAGAGTTTCTTATGGAGTATGGATTTGACTTATCTGAAGTAGACGAACTTTTAAAAAATAAAGATGTTGAACAGTATAAACCTAAATCTTTTTTATAGCTTTTTAATGACTTAGACGCACACACACATACACACACGCACACACAAGTACACTGTAACTCACACACATATAAACATTACAGATACGCATCACAAAATAGTTTGCAAAATTTACTAGTTTTCGAAAATAGTTCCATCACATAAAAAGACTGTGAAAAAAAAGATAATTTCGTTTTACATTTGTACAAAAAACATAAAATATTTCATGCATTTAGTTGAGATATGTTTAGTACATTCGTTTTTCTTAAAGGCTTTGAATGAGTTAGTCGATCACATGAATGACGATGAAGATTGCCCCACACGATATTTGCATAGTTAATTTAGCGGTGAGGTATGGAATAATACATTTGAGTTAAAGTAAGCATGTTTAAGTAGCTTTTCAATTTGTATGATATTACAATAGTTGTCTCCATGTATGATTTTCATCAATATAAATTCCTATAAACTGTATAGATCTTACTCTTTTTATTTGAACATTATCAATGAATATAATGAATATAGAATGAATGAATGAATATAGAAGTATGGCTTATATGATATTACTTTTATTTTTTGGAAAGTTGGTAAAATTTAGTCCAGTTATCACTTTTATTTCAAAGATCCGTCATCTACTTCATCAAGTTCACAACTTTTTTCTATTTTTTCGTACAAATTTTTAAATATCTCTATTATATAAAGAGAAAACATAAATTAACCTTTTTGTGCAAAACTATATTTAATTATTTCATGAATGTTTTGTATATAATTTTATTAAGTTAGATCAACCGTAGCATCAATATTAAATAAACATTTCCTAAAGATTTCAGTTTATAAACATAAATTTTACTTAAGTTAACTTGTTTTGAATTTTACAAAACCCTAAAAAAACATAAATGGAAAAAAAGCAAGAAATAAAAAAAGAATAGATCATTTTGAAGTGTTAAAACTGCTAAAGACCACCAACTACATAAATTTATTTTTTCTTATCCTGTTCAGCATCACGGGATACCATTTTAAATGATCTTAATGATTTCCTCTTTTTTTTTCCTTCATTCGATTTTAAATTTATTTGTTTAACACTAGCAATTTTTGTTAAAAATGATTTTTTACAAGTTACTAAACCTATTAAGCCATAATAATGATAATAATAAAATTATAATACACCATCATTGTAATGGATTACTGCTGAATTTTTTTCCTTACTAAGTCGTTTTTGAGTACGCGAGATCGTATCAAAGAGTTTAACGCTTCATTACCATTCTGAGTTTCACCATGCAAGTATTTTTTGAGTAATTCATCAGCTTGTAGGTCTTGAATAATAGGAGAAAATAAAGTCTTAATCATGGTGGAATAAATATAAATTCCTATATTAAAAATATAAAATTATGTATATCAATACCATGGTGGGATTGACATATATGAATTTATATTTTTCTTGCTAGTTTTCCATTTGAACATGGTTTTAGTTGAATATCTAGGGCAATATTGGTGTCAATAATCATCATTAGGATAGCTAGTAAAATGAAAGAGTATAGCATAAATTGCTTTTTTTAATTTGGTATAATCTCCCTTATTGGCTCTAGTTGTAATCCCATAAAAGTTTTGCATTGAATTTATAAGTTTCTCTGACAAAATTCCTTTACTAGAAATAGGTGTCTTTGTACATTTGTATTTCTTAACAAAAATTAGGTAATCGTGTACCCAATCTTTTTTAGGCGTTACCAACATTTTTTAGTTTTACAGATATCACTTTAGAAAAAAATCAAAAATTCGAAAAATCAAAATTTTTTAAACTATTTCGTTTCACCAAAAGCTCCGCGATAAGATATAAGAGACCTTCCAAAATTTGTATGCGATTAATGAATCACGCGGCCGTGGCGCAGTGTTTAGAGCGCTGGCTTTATAAGTAGGAGATCCAGGTTCGAAACGAGCTTTGGATATATTTCGCATCACGGTAAGGAAGGAGGTGTGAACTTCCTGGTTAAATGGACTTCTGTGGTGCTCTGTGACAAGACCGTTAGGACTTCTTGGGACACCTAAATAACAAATAAAAATAATGTTGATAAATGAAATTGCCATTTCATAAATCATATTTGTTTTTGGGCTTTATTGCATATAAATTTTGAAAAGATATAGGAGTTAAGTTTATCTTACATTTAAATACAAAGCAAAGAACCTTGAAAACATTTAGTTGATATATATCAAAAACACTCATTTAGAATAAAAGTGATTTTGCATGAGTGAAACGATCTTTAAAGTTTATTTGTCGTGCTAGATGCTTCTGTTGCCGATAAAGAGAATCTAATTGAATAAGTGAGTAATAAAGTTAAATTATTATGTATCTATTTACAAACTTCTCACTTTTTATAATACTCCAATATTTTTTGAAACTTTGTTGCGCAAGGTTTCAATATGATTTTTCCACGTAAGATTTTAATCAATAAGAACACCAAGAAAAGTATAACTTTTGATTGTTTTGTTTGAATATTATCTATGTATATTTGAGGCGTATCATTTGGCAAAAGATATTTTTTAGATTTTGGATAAAATAGAGTCTATTTAGTTTTTTCGATATTAATTGATAACTCATCTGACTTGAACCATTTTGAAATTTTTATTTAGCTCTATGTTCATTTCATTAAATAGTGTTATCATAATATTGCTAGACAGAAAAAAATTTGTGTCATCAGCAAACATTACTGTTTTTAAATTTGAGGCATTATAAAGATCATTAATATAAATGAGAAAAAGAAGTGGTTGTAGTAAAGATCCTTGGGGACACCACATGTTATATTTAGTAAATTTGCAGTATAGAATACATTATTTTTTTACATAATTTGTAGTAGAGGATAGTTTACATAATTTGTAGTAGGGGATACATTTACACATACTGTCTACGATTGCTTAAATAGCTCTTGAGTAATTTTAGAAAATTTTGACAGATTCCATATTTTTTTCATTTTTTTAATAAGAACCTCATGATCTGTTGTATTGAAGGTTTTTGATAGATCTATGAACACTGCAAGAGTAAATTGTGATTTTTCAAACGAATCTGCAGTATTTCTAGTCAAATGAAACACTACATGCTCTGTGGAATTATTTTTTTTTAACCCATATTGGATTGTATTTAGTATTTTATTTTTAGAAAGATGATCATAAATTTTATTGTAAAGAATCCTTTCAAAAATCTTTGAAAAACCAAAAAGTACAGAATTTGGACGATAATTAGTTATATTTGATAATTCTCCCCTTTAAATATTGATGTAACTATGGCTATCTTTAGTTGATCAGGAAATTTATTGAACAACTAAAGACCTGAAAGAGAATAGTTTTTATGACCTCGTAAAAACCGATTATAATGTTACCATTTATTTGATCTGGGCCTGTCGCTTTATTGATTTTCAGCATTTTGTAAGCACATTCAAACTCTTTAATGGAAAGTTCAAAGTTATTAAGTATAAAATTTATCGGGAGATTAAAATTTATTGTGCTAGTTATAATTGGAATATATTTTCCTAAACTTGAACCTATAGTTACAAAAAAGTTATTTATTTGATTTGCTATCTCTTTAGGATTATATCAAAAATCAATATTGTTTTTAATAAGTTGTTTTAATTTTTTGATAGCCAGTAATTTCATTTAAATTTTACCATGTGCGTTTAGCATTGTTCTTAAACTTCTCTAATTAGTTTGAGAATGATTTTTTTTTGTTTTTATTTTTTTTTTACTTTCAAAAAGCTTTGATTTTTATAAATTTCCTTATTTTTATCTGTTTTTGACTTTAAATATTTAAAATAAAATTTTTGTTTAACTTTGGAAAATTTCCTGAGTTCTTTGGTAATCCATGGTGACTTTAAGCTTTTTTTGTTTAAGTTAATTTTGTATTGTGGAAAGTTTGCATCATAAATTTCATAGAATGTTCTAAAGAATGAGCTATAAACTACATTTGCTTCTGACGAAAAATTTTTATGTTTTCAATGTAGTAATGATAGTTGTTCATTAAATGATGTAATAATTACTTTACTGAAACAGTGTTTTATGATAACTTGTTTTTTTATTGATAATTGTTTAATATCAGTATTTATTGAACATGTTAAACCTGTTCAATAAATACTGATATTAAACAATTATCTGAAAAAGATTTAGAACAAAATCCAAAACCAATTTTTCAAAAACCAATAACCTCATCATAAGTGTTTCATCAGTAGTCAGTGACTACTGATGATATATATATATATATATATATATATATATATATATATATATATATATATATATATATATATATATATATATATATATATATATATATATATATATATATATGTATATATATATATATATATATATATATATATTTATATATTAGGGTGGTGCTTAAAACAACTTTTTTGAGAAAAACCTGCTGGTACCCCCTAAATGTGTTTTATCTAATACAAAAACACTAGGTTTAAAATTTTTTTGAACAAAAAATATTTTTAGGGGTAGCTCAAGGCCCTCAAAAATTTGACGGGTCCCTAATATTTTGAAAAAAAAACTTTTTCTAAAGTATGTCAACCTGGTACTCAAAAGAAGCGATATTATATAAAAACTTCAAAAATAATAATCATTTTACATAAAAAACATGCCTAAAAAAATTATTCTTAAAAAACCTGAAAATATTGACTTTTTTCATTTTCAGCTTAAAAACAATAGTTTTTATGCATTTATACCTGAAAAAATTATTTTTATAAAAAATTATTTTCATTTTTAAATTTTTTATATAATTTTGCTTATTTTGAGTACCAGGTTGACATACTTTAGAAAAAGTTTTTTTTTCAAAATATATATATATATATTGACTTGATTATTATTCAAGTATCGTATTTGATTCAAATACGATACTTGAATAATATATATAGAGCTCAGCAACAAATTAATTTTAATGAGTTTTGAAGCTGTGTTCTCTAACGTAAAATTAATGCAGCTTAAAGTATTTAAAAGAATTTCATGGCCGACGACACGGATTTCGAAATGGAGGAGTACAATCGTCATTTTTAAAAAATGTCTTATATATTATAAGTTTTCTAAAAAAAAAAAGGTCTTTTATAAAAAAAGTGGGGGGCACGACGCCCTCCTCTTTTAGTTGTTATGAAGAAGATGGTGATATTTTAGTTGCATGCATCAGATTTGAAACCTTAGAAACACTTTTCACGTATCATTAGAATTATATATTCATTGGCATATAATAAGTAATTTATCAAAAAATACAGTATACAGTAAGTGTTGCTCTATTGTTAATATTGTTAAAAAGTTTATTTATATTATCTATAACCACACTGAATATTACTTTTTTGTTTTACAAAAATATGCTGCATTGCATTTTTAAAAGTTTTTTGTCTAAATTAGTATATCAATTTTTATTAAATTTTTTAGATCTCAAAAAGCATTTATTCTAAGTAAATCGTGCCATGTACTTTAAGTCTAATCATAAGAAACATGCAAGCGATATAAATGAAATAATAATATTTATACTTCTTGTATGCAAATATTTATTGAAAAACTTCAAGTCCATTTTCTGTTTTTAAAAAATGTTTTTAACTTTTTATATGTTAGGTAATAAATAATTTGTCATAATGGACAAATTTATTTTAATTGTCGCACTTGCTACACCGCCAAATCAGGTAGAAAATAAAAATTTGTGTGTCGATGAAGAAAACATAAAATTAGATTCGTTGATAGTAATTAATGATTCAAAACGGCATTTACTAAATATGGACTTTGATATACCGTAACACGTGGTTACTTTGGCCTATATTTTGATCTATACATATGATTAATTTGATTTATATGGAATATCTCTGTGATGGAGATACATAATCTTTTATATATATATATATATATATATATATATATATATATATATATATATATATATATATATATATATATATATATATATATATATATATATATATATATATATATATATATATATATATATATATATATATATATATATATATATATATATATATCAGGGGATATATATATATATATATCCCCTGATATATATATATATATATATATATATATATATATATATATATATATATATATATATATATATATATATATATATATATATATCAGGGGTGTGGAGTCGAAAAAAAAAGTCCGACTCCGACTCCAGTTGTTGAAATTTTTTAAGTACAACTCCGACTTCAACTCCGACTCCGACTCTAACTCCAAAGCAAAATTTTTGAAAAATTTTTTGAATTCTTTCAAAAATAATTAATGCAGTTTTGGAATCTAAAAGTGCAAGTATTGCAACATATATTTGGTCTCCAGATCTTAGTCTCTAAATTTGCATCCAAAATTTGATAAACCTCCCTAACCACTGGAGTAAGAGAAAATTTCTGTGTGGAAAATGTATGTTTACCATACACATTACAAAATTTATTTATTATAAAACTTAACTTATGTGCTGTTTAAAGACTTTTTTTGAAGCATTTCAATATAACGAATTCTAACTGATACGAAAAACTCTTATTTACACATTCTCACGGCATTTCTTATGTCATAACTTGCAGTTTATAAATCAATTAATTAAATTTAAAAATAAAAAAAAATTATTAATAAAAAGTAAAATGTATTGTTGCATTTAAATTTATTTTTCTGGAACTTTCAAAACGTTGAATTTATTTCTATTACTAGTGTGTGCGTCCACCTTTATTCGAATCGGATTTTGAATTTGAATTTCCGCTACCACCAGTTGATTTTGATGAACCCTTTTTTGCATCGCTAGAAAAAACATCGTCTTCCTCTGTTAACCTTTGTTCAGATAATGGAGATTCATCATAAAGTTTTTGGAAATCGTGATTTGGACTAGAGAAATAAAAAATGAAAATTTTTTTTGTCATATAGTTAAAGGCTTTACGTCACTATAGTTTATAACACAAAAAATATTTTTAAGTTGTAAGTGTTACAAGACTTTTTTACAACCTGTTAGTGTTACAACCCTTACTTTTAGTGTTACAACCCAACTGTTAGTGTTACAACCCAACTGTTAGTGTTTCAACCCAACTGTTAGTGTTACAACCCAACTGTTAGTGTTACAACCCAACTGTTAGTGTTTCAACCCAACTGTTAGTGTTACAACCCAACTGTTAGTGTTACAACCCAACTGTTAGTGTCACAACCCAACTGTTAGTGTTACAACCCTTAAAAGGATTTTTAGATAACTTTTTATACTATCCTTTATTATAGAACAAGCTAATGCATTAAGTACATTAAAGCAAGTAATATTTAATGTGTTACGCTAGGCTATCCTCGCTGGCTCCAGATAAGATAAGATTTAGGAAAAATATTACTTCAAGACGTTAGGTTCAGAAGAACAACGCTTTAACCACTATACTTTAGCCGCACTTTAGAAAACAAAAATAGAAATAAAAAATACAATTGCTATATTTTTGCAATAAACAATTACCTTGTTTCATCTGGAACGTTATGAATAAAAGGCTGACGCTCATCATTAGAAAAATCATTACTTTCCATCCAGGCTCTTGGATCAGATTGACGCATGGTTTCATTATTTGAAAAAACATTATCTTGTTCCATCCAAGCTCTAGGGTTAAATTGATACATGGTTTCATCATTTGAAAAATCATTATCTTGTTCCATCCAAGCTCTAGGGTTAAATTGACGCTTGGTTTCATGATTTGAAAAAACATTATCTTGCTCCATCCAAGCTCTAGGATTAGATTGACGCACGGTTTCATCATTTAAAAAAATATCATCCTGTTCCAGAGCTGTGCATCCTGTACAAGAAGCTCTTGGGTTTAAATTACGCACATGTTGATCATTCAAATATTCATCATCTCGCATCCAAGTACCTGTTTGAAATTTTTGTGCGAGAACATCATTTGGAAAAATATTGTCTATATTTTCTTGTGGTACAGGTTCAGGCAATGGTTCATCTTCATAACGTGATTTTGAATTTTGTTTTAGTCTAGAGAAATGTTTAAAATATTTAAATTTTTTTGATTGAATTGATTGAACAAATGATTAATAAAAAAGTACTGCCCTCATATAAATACAAGTGCCGTTATATACACAATATTAAAGAAATTTTAATATATTTATTCTTCATAAATATACACATTATGTAGGCTATATGCTTAAATGTCAACCATCGACTAGACTAGTTTTTGTTAATTTTTCAAAACTAGTTTAGTAAAATGAGTATACAATGTAAATTATCGTATTTCTTTAATAAATGTTTTATTTTTAACTTATATTTGTATCAAACTCTGAATTATTGATATATTAATGAAGATTTATTTAAAATTTATTTAAGATTATTATTAAAATTAATCAAAAGAATATTGATTAAATGTTAAAAAAAATTAAAATAAACTTAAAAAGTGTAAAAAAAGTGCAACTTTAAAAAAAAAAAAAAAAACAGCAATCCAATTAAAACGCTACTAAACCTAAACTGATGATTTTATATATATTTCAAATATGGTTTCATCCAATATATTCCAAAGTCTAGCTGTCTTTACAAAAGTTGACTAATTTTTTTTGATAAAAGACTCCAAAAAATTGGCAAAACAAAGATAATTAAAAAAGACCCAACCATTAAATTTGCTACTAAAATTAAAACTTATCTATCAAAGTTGAATAAAAAAGGGCGATTTACCAAAAAAGAATATGAAACCCCTTACCAAAAAAGAATATGAAAACACAAGCAACCTAATACCGCCACGTGGTTTAATTAAAGCGCAAAAAGGTTACAAGACAAACTTTAAATCTAATGCAAATCTGAAATCTTTGCTAACATCACACAATAAGACAAACCTATCATCAAATAGTTATCCAGGAGTTATACCTAATAGAATGCAAGTGTGAACAAAAATACATTGGCGAAACAAAAATGAAAATAGCAACAAGAACAAAACAACACCAAAAAAATGTATTTGAAGAAAAATGGGAACAACCTGCAATTGGGCATCATAAGTTATCTATGCAATATAAAATGGGACCAAGTAAAAACTTTAAAAATAGAACCCAAAAAATTTGAAAAAAAAGTTCGATGATCAATTGAAATTCACTTTAACAAATGCGAACCTAAGAACGGAGGCATGAGTTTAGATAATAGTCAATACGTAAAAACGCCATATTTTTTATATTTACGTAACATTAAAGAAGCCCAATTAAAGCGAAATTTAAAGAACTTTAAATCCAATAGAGAAGTTACCGTTTGTTTTTAATGTGCCCACCTATGGATCTGTCCCTGAAATAGCACATTTATAATAAAGTTAAATAAAAAAAGCAGAAGGATTCTTATTGTATTACTTTACTTATCAAAGTTTCCTCAAGTATTGTTATAATCAATAAGTTTTTTTTTGAAGTAATCATTTTTTTTTTTTTTTTGCGCAAACATTTAAATTTTTTTTTTTAAACATGTTTTTGTATAAAGAAGAAATAAAAAAAACATATTTTTCAAAAAGTATATGTAATCATTCCATGAGCGTTTTTTTTAAGTAAAAAAAAACATTAGAGAAGCCCAATTAAAGCGAAATTTAATGAACTTTAAAGCCATTAGAGAAGTTACCGTTTGCTTGTAATTAAATATAATTAGTAGTTAGTAATTAAAGCCGAAGATGCTACTACCAAAAATCTAGCAAAAAATTCTTAGATTTAATAGAAAAAAATTAGTATTGAGAGAATTCGTATTTATTAATGTTCATATATTAAATTAATTCAACTCTCATTCAAGATGTCGTTATTCAATATATATATATATATATATATATATATATATATATATATATATATATATATATATATATATATATATATATATATATATATATATATATATATATATATATATATATATATATATATATATATGTGCCCACCTATGGATCTGTCCCTGAAATAGCACATATATAACAAAGTTAAATAAAAAAGCAGAAGGATTCTTATTGTATTACTTTACTTATCAAAGTTTCCTCAAGTATTGTTATAATCAATAGGTTTTTTTTATGGAGTAATCAATTTTTTTTTTTTTTTTGCGCAAACATTTAAATATTTCTTTTGTTTAAAGAAGAAATAAAAAAAGCATATTTTTCAAAAAGTATATGTAATCATTCCATGAGCTTTTTTTTTAAGTAAAAAAAAAGAAATGCCAACAGTTACAATACTTATACTTTCAAATAATCAAGTAATTACTTTTCAGGCCAGAGGTATGCAGGATAATAGCGAGCGTCATTCTAAAATTCAAAGTAAGTTAACATCAAAAGTATTTTAATAAAATAAAACAAGAAACATAAATTTCATGTTTAATATTTAGCTTTGAATTTTTTTCAAATTAAAAGCCTTTGAAAGTATAAGCAATTTTGTAAATCAAAAAGAAATTATCAAAACTTACAAAAACAACGAAATTTAGTAAACCAATAAAAAAAAGATTTTTCATTTTGCTCTGTTCACGTAGAATACCGTCTTAGATATGCCTTAGAAAATTTTTTTTTCAAGGTTAAGATAAATTTTTTATTAGATTTAAAATCTATTGAAAAATAAGTTTTAAACAATTAATTCCTTTTAACTACTGTATTTAAAATATAATTTAAGCCTTTCTGATGTTCTATTTGCTACCAAGGGAATTGCTTTAACGTTGCTATTGTTTTGGGGTGTGGATAATAAGCATATTATGCATAGCATGCTATTTTATATTTATCGTTGCTAGCAATGAATACATATTTTTATATGCTTTATTATAATGATAGTTATGAACGCTTAAGAAAATGTTAACATTAATAACAGCACTGTCGTTTACCTAACTAAAATTGATGTATCGACATGAAGATAAATGTCGATAAATATTCATCAATGATGAACATTTATTGATAGATTTTTAATTTTGTTTAAAAATATTGTAACATGACCACGCAAAATTTACAACCCTTGTAAATTGTGGTAAGGAGGGAAGGTGGGGGGTGGGTGGAGGAAAGCGATTTGGAAAGTTTGTATGGTCATAACTTTTGTAATTGAAAATATTTACGACGAAGTTTAAAATCTGTCGATGAAATTAAATTTAGTTTAAACAGTAAAGCTGAAAGTTTTACTACATCAGTGCCCTTATTTGTTCCCAGGCCTCAACCATCCCAATTTTTTGCAAGACCTTCTCATTTGACATAGGTATGAACATACTTATATTGAGTATGCACAATGCGTGAAAGTGTAGTACCTAAAATAGCAAAAAATCCTGCGGCGCTCATGTGTCTAGGATATGAGCCTTCTAATCAAATTTAAATGGCGATTTTACGGTACTTGGTTGCGATATATTTAATTAATCATTTTATTAATTTTGACTAAATAAGAACGGAAACAACGGAACAAGTTAAGTGCTTCAACCTTTACTTCCTGCGGTCATTTTTTTTTATGTTTATAATGCTGTAAAAATCATATTTACCTATAATATTTTGTTAAAAAACAAAACAAACATCAACAATAAAGAATAATACATTTTTTTTTTTAATTTGTAATCAACGCTCTGTATAAAAAGACACAATACTCATTTAGAAATAACTTTGAATTCCTTTGTTGTTATATTTATAACTTTAGGAATTCATTTTAACTAAACTCTTCTAATCTGCATTTAAAATATCCATAGAAATAAATATATATATCAATATATTTTTAATATAACAAATATATATATATATATATATATATATATATATATATATATATATATATATATATATATATATATATAATATATATATATATTGGGGTGCGTCATTTTTCAACAGTTTTTTCAAACTAAATCCCAACCACCTGGATTAGTTGACCGGTTGGATAAAATGATTTTACGCTAAAAAAAACTTTTTGAAACCCATTTTTAAGGTCCCCCTTTTACAATTTGTGCCCCAAAACCCCAACTTTTTTAACCAAAAAGGGGGGACCTTAAACATTGACATAAAACACCAATTTTTTTTCTATGAACTCTAAAAGGCCTAAATATTAATTTGAAATTCGTTGGGAAGTTTACAATAAAAAAATATATACTAATTTAGGTCAAAAAAAATAGCTTAAAACGCACTAACTTAGTATAATTTTTAAGTATATTTAAATAGAATAACGCTTGTGATCGAATTTAACTTACGTGTGTCACAAACAAAAGCAATCTTGCTTTTTCGAACTATTTATTCTAAAAAAATTAGAAAAGATTTAAAAAAGAATTCGTGCCATACTTTACTTACAAGTTTTTAGAATGTGTATTGGTTTGACACTGGAAAAATGGGCGAAACATTCTAATTTTAGGTAATTTTATGGATATATTTATTGACCAATTTTTTTATCACTCAAACTTTCCGACAAATATCAAATTCTTATTTACAAAGATTAATTTGATCCAAAATTCAATTTTAAAATTAACTTCTAACATAGGAACCCCTATAGGGAAAGTAATTTCTAACATAGGAGGGTTAGTGGTGGGTGGCGGAGAGTTCGTTTCTTTCACTCCCCCTCCTCCATCTATTTTACTTTTTTTTACAAAATATTTATGTACCATCTGCCTTAAAGTTTTATTTTTACATATAGTTTAATTAGATTTTCATATAGGCGCTGCAAAATAAGCGTTTTAATGAAACAATTTTATTTTGCTGAATATCATGTAGCTGAGATTAAGGTAAAATAATAATTTTCTGCTAAAAAATATATATATATATATAGCGATATTGTTAAGGTCAACAGTGATAAATTAGTAATAAATAATCAAGAAAAGATTTTCTTCAAAAACAGTTTGTAAAACTATAACTCAACAAACTTTTCTTCGTGTTTTTGGTGAAAAATCGAATTAATATTCTCCAAACTATGCTTTGTCAGCGCCATTTTTTTTTTGCCTCTCTTAATAGTTTGTACTTTTTCGAATTCCCTGAATTTATCCCTACTATGCTGAACGGCCAACAGTAAATCTTGCCTGTCCTCTTCATTGTGAACAGAATTAACAAACTCTGATACAAGCTTAATTGCTCGTTCAGAGCAGTCGTTGACAACATATATTTGGCAAACAAATTCAATGAAAGTTTTAAATTGGTCGATAAAGCCCCAAAAAGATAAAGGACAGTTCAGCCAAGGTTTATCATCGTCTTTGCTCAAATTTAAGAGACTGAAAAATTTTTTTTTTTTTGTATGTATTTAGGTGCTCCCAGAAGTCCTTACGGTCTTATCATAGAGCATCGCGGGAGAGCATTTAACGGGAAGTTCACGCCTCCTTCCGTACCAATGTCGCTTATTGGGCTGAAGATGGCGTTGAACCCCGGACCTCTGGAATCTGAGCCAGAACTCTAACCACTGCGCCACGGCTGCTTCAAATAAACCACGAGTTCCTACCAACCAACTGTGACAAGCTAGGTGGTTTCTCACGGGTGAAGTCTAGACCTTTCAGAAGGATTGGATTTTCAAACTTCTCATTATGAGTAGGAACAGGTTGCGAGAAAAGAACTTTTGTAACTTTTTCTTTCTTATCATCTTCGAGTTCTTTATCTGCGAGACATAATGGAATCAAGGTTTGATCCAAATACCACGTATGTCTCTCCATTGATTTCAATACTTCTTCAATTCCCTCTACTACATCATTAGCTCCTATATCATAAGATTCCACCCAACGTTTATACTGGACCATCTGCCAGTACGCAATTAAATCTTGATAAGGTGCAGAGGAAACTAAAGAGGAACGCACAAACCACACAGTATAAAATATAGAAATAAATTCTGCCATTTTACAAATTTCTTTTTGTAAACAAGCTGTCAATTGGTAGGGCAACTGATTACTTAAAACTTGAATTTTAAGATAATATATAGACTTTGCCATAAAACGAGCATGGGAAACTGATCCGGGAGCATAAACATTAAAGCTTACATTTGGACATAAGTAGGTGAGTGTAAGTTCTACCAGTTCTTTATAATCACCTCTTGGAAATACTAAATTGGCAAGTGCATATTTGCAAAATTGAACAGTTTTTTCGATCTGTTTTTCTAAATACGTTCCTTTACCTGCAGCTTTATCAAACTTTTTTAAGTTTGATTTATCCATAGTTTCCTTAGTTGCGTTCCAATTAGCTTGGAAAATTTTGAACATCAGATTTTCAGGAGCATAAGTTTTACCAATGTGAACTTTTTCCCAAAAATGTTTACAGTGAAGCTCATAAACATGTCTTCGACATGCATGCTGTAATATAATTGAACCCTGTGTTTGACAAAACCTAATGTTTGTGCCGGAATATTTTCCTGTATTAGTTGAATTATGTCAAAGCACAGACCCTTTATATAAATTCTTAGCTTATATTCATCCAAAATGTTTATTAAAGTATCATAATGAGATTTTCCAGTACAATTTTCCATTAACGGAATGCCAAGAAGTCTTAAATCACCATCGATATTTACAAGAACAGCAAAACGATCTCTTTTTTGTCTTGTACCGTTAGTAATATCGTTCAAGATTTTTCCATCAAAGTGTGCAATTATTGGAAATTTACTTCGACTTGCAGCTTTTATTATATTTTCTCGATATTTAGCTGCACTTGTACTTATTGCTTTCTTTTTTGCACGTCTGATAGTAGATTCAGAAAGCGAGAAATCTCAAACTGCCCCCAGAAGTAACTGCTATGTCAGAGAGCAAGTGCATCATATTTCTAGGTGAAATATTTTTAGAAACACCTGTAATTGCAACTTCTTTTGCAAATTTTTTAGGTAAAACTGTTGAAGCACTAGTACCTGATTTAATTTCGTCTGCTGAATAGTCGGAATAATCCTGACAAGAGGAGACCTTAATTTGTTCTGATGATAAAAACTCAATTTTCTCAGTTTGATTCTCTTGTTGCTCAATAAATGTTAAATATCGCAATCTTCTTTCTTCTATTTTTTTCAGCTTTCGGCAATATGCTAAATCCTTTGAACCAAGTGTCATTTTACGTTTCGTCATTTGATCATTTAAAAATTGCATATCTGAATTGTATGAATCTAGGTTGTTTCCATGTTTCTTCTTTAAAATGGAGCAAATATCAGGTTTTCCAATCCAAAAAATATTTTTAGCATTTTTTTTTAAAGATGTTTCTAGCTAATGCTGCTGCGTTGCCTTTTTTATTTTATTATTATTTTTTTTTTTCAACGTTGCCCATTTTTCAACTAGATCATTTAATAGTTTCCTAGAACATATAATATTTATTTAACTTTTTTCTAATTGCTTTAAAACTTTTTAATGTAGCCTCATATCAGAGAGTGAAAATAGTCAACAAGTTAATATAAGCAAAAGTAAAATTCGGTAAAAATAAAAAAACTCTAATTATAGATCATTTAGCAAACCTGATGTGTTTGTCTTGAAATATGCCGCCGTCATATCCTCCATCGATCCACGGTTTCTTTATTACAAAAAGGACGCCGTTCTAAGTACATATTGCTAGTTCAGAGCATGCTGACATCATTTTATCTTAGGAAGCACAACCAATCAAAG